GTGGTAATGGTAGTAGTAGTGGTAGTCGTCGTCCTTGTCATGGTCGTCGTCGTCGTGGTCGTAGTCTCCGTGTCGACCCGCCGGTCTCGGTCTCCACGGCGGTCGGAGTGGTAGTCGTAGTCGTAGTGATAGTCGTCATAGTAGTAGCCGTAGTCGCACTAGTATTAGTATCGGAAGTACTAGTACTAGGGCATTCCCACATTAGGATACGGTTCTGAATACGAGCTTGAATAGAAGTTTGGATACGGTTCTGAACAGGCCTCGGAATTCTGGATAGGGGTGTGAAGTGTACTCCGGACTGCATCTGAAGCGTATTTCCCGGTCCCCAGGGTCCAGGAACAGGGGTCGGCAAGGGAGTCGGAATACGGAAACGGCGAATACGCTTCGGAATACGGCTCCAGAGGCCCAAGCATGGGCTCAGCCCCAAAACCCAAAGGAAAATACTTGTCGGCATGTGCGGAATACACAGGTCAGAACTCTGCCGCTCTGCCCTAACACTATCAAAGCGTAGTCTGTCCAACCCAATTCGTATTCCCAACCCTGTTCTCCAGAATATTTCAACCGTATTTGGTACAGTATTCGTGTTCCAAGCAGTTTGAATTCAGCGGGGTGACAGGGTCCTGAGTCCTTGAGGTTTCGCGGCTCGCAAGCCATAGGCCATAGGCATCTGCATCTTTTCAACGGCGCGTAGGCCCTACTCGGCACTCCCAACACGATCCCCAGGAGCCGGTCCAGATAGAGATGGACCTGGCTGTGCAACAGGTGCGCGATAACTTCAGTCTTCGTGGTTTAACATGCCAAACATCCGGAATTGAATCTGAATCAACAGAAGCCAAGAAGTCAGGGTGAAGACGTCCTCGTCTTGAAGCTAGACTCAAGCAATTGGTGGACGAAAATCAATACCAAGGCGAAGAGGGCAGAAGTTCTGGAAGGTAAGAGAACTCTTGGGCCCAACATGGGAACCGTTGTTTCACAAGGAAACTATGAGTTTGCCATCCACCAACTAGCCGAATCAATGCAGAAGGCACCCGCCTGAGGGCCGTGAGAGAGCGAAAATTCGTTGCAGTCGTGCCAACACCAACATTTCCCTTCCGTGGACGCGGTCGGAGGCTCCCAAAACCTTTCGATAGAGCAGAGTGAAGAGTTGTGGACCGCATGGGTGAGCTTGAGTGAAGATGACTGCAGATATGTCGCAAGCCGGACCCGCATCGCAGACAGGCCAAGGTAGCACCAGGATGCGTTGGGTCCAGATGTCGGATACCGGATACCGGACCAATTTTCGCACTTGAGTGGTGTGGTCGTCGGCAGAGCATCCGCACTTAAGGCGTCGCTGCTTTTGCTGTTGGAAGGCCTAGCAATGACGAAGGCGGAACTTCTCTCGTGCAGCGACCTTGACGGTCAGACGGTGGCCACACTGTTCTTGTAGAACTGTAGAGTCATCAAACAAGTAAGAACGGGAAAGTCCTGGCAGACACAGAGAGCAAGCAGTTAAAAAGCTCAACGGCCCAGGATCAGGAAGACCCCAACTCCTCTTTGCCTCAGGTGGCCCTGGGCGCGTACCACTCCGCCTGTGTGCGAAACCCATCTTCTCCATTGGAGCTTGGGGCCGTAAAGCTCGAATTCAGAAGTTCCAAAAGCCCCGACCCTCCCCGACGCCACAATCAGCCGCTGAAGGATCAGGCTGAGAATGGGCAGAACCGGTTCCGGGGGATCCAGTTTTTTAAAGATTGCTCACGCGATGGCCAGTGCGTTTTCACAATTCGCCATTGCAAGTCCAGCGCTAGGAGATTCGGCATTTGCAAGCTGTAGACTGGAGAGGGCTCCATTCGGATTCTCGAGGTTCCGGTCCCCGGCGGGTTAAGCTTCAGAAGCCCAAAATCCGAATCTACAAGCCTGCGGCGAAAGGCGCCCAGGCCTAGGCATGGCTTAGGCTAGGCGCCGCTCTGCGGATAGTGCAGCACTGAAGCGACGAAGACGAAGCCTCCGAGTTCTCCGAAGGCCGGGCTTCAAGCCTAAGGCCGGCGTTCGGCTGTCGGAATATGCAGTCTTTGTGTTATTCCTCTGTTTAATCCCCAAGGAAGGTCCACCAACGGAGCCGCAACCTCAAGCCTCAAAGCTGCGAGGGGAGCCAACATCAGGTCATGCGTACCCTACGCCCGAGTTCATGCGGCAAGTTCCTGCATCCCTCATCAGAATTCGACAACCCTAAGTCTTCAAACCCGAAACGAAGCACCTGAGCCCTAAAGCGTGAAGCCCTGAGCCCGACTCTAGCCTGGCGCTTAGGTCTGTGAGGACGGCTCGCTTTGGACTTGGGGAGACTCTGGCTGCAATCAGGCATTCGACTGCTTGAATTGAGGGTCAAGACAGGGCTCCCTTAAAGTTTTTCTTTTTTTTTTAAATTGGGGCTTCAGGATTTTTTTTAAGGGTTCCTCCAAGAGTCTAGGGTTCGGGGAGCCATGTGAGAGACACCCCAAATTCTACAGGAGCTCAGGGTGTATGAGTTAGGATTTCGAGTCGGTGGAAGCGGGCCATCCGAGACTCTCGCACAACCTTGAAGCCCTGTTTGTTTAAACCCGAAGCCATGAACGCCGCAAACCAGAAAAGGCTTTTTGGAATCGCCTGAGCCTGAGACCTTAAAGCCCCAAAGCCCTCCACCCTAGAGCCTAACGAACCGAACGTTTCAAAGACTGGAACTCGCAAAGACCCGAAATCCGCAGAACCCTAGCATAACAAATCCTTAAACCCTCCCAAAACCCCAAAAGCCCTAAAAAGGGTGGGGCGGCGGCTTCTTCCACGGAGCCGGAGCTCTTGGACTTGGCCACCGGGACTCGGCTTCCACTCCGCAGAAAGTGGAGCAGTTCGCACAGACCCTTGGGCTCAGATTAAATAAAAACACTTCGTATAAGAGTCTGTTTACGGACCTGGGGGCCCTCTCTCTCTAAAATGGACTTGCTAGGGGCTGAGCTCACATACTCTAAACTCCTCAACCCTTGTAAACTGGGTTCACCTTACTGATGCATTCTGCCTGCTGCCACACCCTTGTGACCCTTGTGCCCCAGTCTACCTCGAGTTGCTATGTCCTGTAAATATTGTGTCCTCTGACTGTTCTCTCTCTCTCTCTCGATTGGGATGCTGGATATATAGGGTTTGGAGACCACTGGATCCATTCCTGCCTTGTGCGAGTGTACGCGTGAGTTGATGGCTTGATGCGGCGGAAACGTCAAAGTGATGTGGCAAAGTTCGACTCTGTATGGCCTGAGGGAAGATCAAGCCAGAGTAGATTTCTCATGTGCTGGCATGAAGACTCTTATCTTTCGAGCTCATCTGCTAGCTGGAGTTCAGAGTTTCGTCGACGCCGCCTACTTCAGGGCATCAGGTGTTTTGCAGGAGCAGCGTAGGCTGGATGTAACTCGAACTCGCTGCCGAATCCTGGGAACCCGAGACAATGCTGCAATTCGAGGCATGGCCAAAAGATTAGCTCGGTGGCCTGTGGGGCGCCTTGGCTCAGATCACTATGCCCTATGCGCTCAAATGCCGCAACCATGACTAGGACACAGCAGTTGAGATGTATAGAGTATGATGGGGTTATTGAGAACCAGGTCTGAACAGTGATTTCCCAATGAGATCCAAGTCTTGAACGTTGAGTCCGACAGCCCGGATCCCGAACATGTGCTGCGATGAATGACGTCCTTTGCTCGGACGCATTGCCCCCTCTGTGCGACCTCAGGCGATGCTGTGTATTTTGCTCGCGCTGTAAACCCCGAAGCCTGTTCCTTCAATTCAACCGTGAAGCAGACTCCCAAACTCTTTCCCCTCCGCCTAGGTCCTAGACCGCAACGACCCCAAGCCCAAAGCCCCTAGCTAGGCGCAACATACGCTTGTGCTCACCACGGACGGCCACCTCTACGCCACTGGCAAAGGTGACTTCGGCCGCCTCGGCCGTGGGGACACCTCCGATGAAATCGACTTCCATGAGCTCCCCGGTAGGATCTAATTACAAAGGGCTGCTGAGGGCTGCTGGGGAGCGGGGCTTCAATTTTTCGGGCTGTAGGACTGTAGAGGTTGAACAAGCCTGACCAGCCCTTTCCGTTCGCCATGTATTACATGTGCCACGGCAGTGAGACTGGCACCCTTGGTGCTCGTTCTATGGTGGTTTTTCTGACTCCCGTTGTGACTGGTTGTTGTTTGTGGCCATTGCCCCGTGGATTCGATAAGCTGTTCTGGTTTTTTCTCAGTTCAAGTGTTCGCGGCCCAGGGGAACGCAACAAACCTGTCACCAAAAACTGTACAACAGTTTCAGAAAAGTTTGCATGTGTGTGTGTGTGTGTCTGCCTGAAACCGACTCGACAAGATTAAGGTTTCAGGTTGCATCTATTGGGTTTATGAGCACCTTCAGCTTGGGCCGAGCTGGCCAGCAAACTGAGAATTTCTCGCTGCTGTCGCTGCGAGATAGTCGTAGAACCCACAGCCGACCAGGGCTGCAGTTATTCATGCCGCTATATCCCGGACTTAGGCCGGTAAGCTGCCGTGCGCCTTGAAATGCTGTAGATCCCCCCTGGCTTCAGGAAACCCAACCCGACCCTGAATGGTGTCCGTCGCTCCAGACTGATTAAAGCCATGACACCGTCTTCGCAAGCTATTCAATTCCTCCCTAGCCCAGGATAGATTACTTTGAGCACACAAACGACTCCATCCTTTCACCCGGGGAGGAAGCGAAGATCGTCAAGATAGGCGCCGTCGGGTTTAGGCTGTCTGAGCCCGAGGTTTTCAGTTTTGCGTTGGATGTAGGGTTTAGGGTTTATGGTTCGCGTCGTCGTCGCTGACCTGAGCATCATGTGAGACCTCCGGATGCGTAGTAACTCGCAGCCTCACATGCGGCCGTGTCGTATCTTGCCGGTAGAGTGTTGGCCACTTGGTTTTGCTCTGTACTACTTGCTACCCACCATCAACTTTGCATAATAATTTGCTACTGCTGCTACTATACCACGACGACGATGGCTGTGACTTGCTACTGCTTTCGCTACAACAACAATGCTGCCGTTGCCACTACCACTACCACTACCAC